GTGAGGGTGGGGGGAGAAGAAGGGACTCCATCTGTCTTCCAAGTGGGCTAGTCCCCTCCAGAGAAAAATAACAGTGGGGGCTCCCTAGACTCCAATATTCACATGTTTCTTCTCATAGCTACTCTTGGTGTCCCTAAGAAAGGGTGATTCTCCAGTCTGTGCAAGAAGACACAGAATAGATAGACCTGTCAAGGTCACATAAAAAGTGGCTGATGGCTAAGCCCCAATTCTGTGGGGTTTGTGAGAACCAGAGCTGTGAAACCCACAGTGAAAACATCCCAGCTGCTGACGCCCTCTTCCCACATCCCCAGCCCTGGACAACAGGCAGCTTGGCTGAGGGGCTGGGACAGCCCCCAGGCCCCAGGGATGAGCACTCTGGCTGCCCTCCCTGCCCCCACCCCATCTCCCCAGATGATGGACTCAAGGGCCACAATGCTTATCACTCACCCACAGTCTCTAGGCCTCCTCTGTGGAGACAAGAGACCTGTCAGAGCCACGAGCTTGTAAAGCCAGTGAAAGGCCCTTGGCTGCCATTGAATAATACCCAGGTTCTAGGGAGGAAAGAGTAGGCGGAGCCATGGCCCAAACAGGTCCCAGCTGCTCAGGGGCCATAAAGGCCCACCCCCACCCTCGTGGTACTTGGCCACCTCCAGGAGTGACTCCTGGGAAATGAGAGGGAGTAAGGCTGGGGCCCCAGGGGCAGGGCTAAGGCTGCCAAGGACAGAAAGGCTGTAACTTAGGCTACCAGAGAGGGAGAGGGATTTGGGGATGGAACAGGAAGGCAGAGAGGGCCAGAAGATGTTCACAGGAGGCTGGGAGAGGTGGACTGGACACAAACCCCACCCCACACACAGAAAGAGCGAGCACCCGCTTCGGAGGCACCCCTGGGACCCATCTCTTCCCTGCTGAGTGAGTCCTGGGTTCTCTCTGAGCTCAGTTTGCAAACATGTAAAACGGGGCCCAGGAGTCCCTGTCTTGAACAAGATGGAGCACATGCGGAAGGGCCCGCCCAGGGCTGGGCAGAGCAGGGCCTCCGCCTCTGTTTCTCCTTCCTGCCGGTCTGGCATGGGAGACTGGGCTGGCTCCGGGTGGACAGGCCACAGGCCCGGTACAGCCAGGGCCTTCATACATCCTGCCGGCCTCAGGAACCTGGAAAAGGCTCCGAGCTCTGCCCCAAGCAGGAACCTCTTATCTCCCCAACTTTTATTTGGATCTCAAACCTAGAGAAAGCTGGAAGAACACAGACACATCATCCATTTTGATTCCTCTCCTTCTTCTTTTAAAAATAAACTATTATAAGACAGTAAAATTTATGTTATGTGGATTTACCACAGTAAAATAATTGGAAAAAGGCACTAAACAACTGTGTTGCTAGCAGCTGTTTTAACAACTGTAAATTAAGTTTTGACAAGAATGCTAAACAGACTGTGCCAGGGGCCAGGTACAAACCACAGTCTTTGTCAAAGTCATTCAGTCATACAGCAGCCCCATGAGTTGTGTACTATATATCATCCACGTGTTACAGATGGGGAACTGAGGCTTAGAGAAATTAGGCAATGTGCAGAGTCAAGATGAATTTGCATCTGTCTGACCTCCCTTTCAAGCAGGAATCCCTGAGACTAAGGCAGAGACGCTGTTTCCAGTCCCAGCTGCAAACCCCTCATGCAGGGAGCTCCACCTCTGCGTCCCTCCCCGACCTCTTAACCTGCCTCGCACCCCTGGCCCCAACCACCTGGCCCAGGCACTGCCCTCAGAAACCAAAACCTTTCTATTCAAGGTCAGGCTCTGCCATTCACCAGCTGCCTAACTAGGGACGAGGGCCCTCAGTTCTCATCTGGAAAATGGGTTATGACGGCCCCTCCTCAGAGTTGGTTGCAGGTAAAGGAGGCCAGGCCTCTGGGGACCCAGGTCAGGGCGCGTAGTAGGCTAGGTCCTGAGAGCTCCCTCCTCTCCCACCGTCCTGACCTCAGATGGAATTGGGAAGCTTCGCGGGGCGGAGCCCCCGGCTCCGAGGGGCGGGGCCTCCTAGCACCGCCCCTCCGAGAGGCTGAGGGCGAGCAGATGCAGCATCCGGACTTGGGTCCCCGAAAACACCTCGCAGAGTGAGCCGACCGCGGGCACCAGGGCAGGAGAAGCAGGTGAGCACCGGGGCTTTGAACAGGGGTGGGATCAGAGCAGGTGAAGGGGAGTCCTGGGCCCATCAACATTGGGACAGCCCACTGACCCTTGTGGAGGAGGACACACAATGGGGTCCCTACTTCACATCTCTCCTTGGGTGCCAGTGAGTGCTTGGTGAGCAAAGAAGGAGGAAGCCAACAAGTTTGTGGGGGCAAATATGGGCAAACGTGAACAGGGGGGATGAGGCGTTCAGCATTTAAGGAGCCCATACTATGTGCCCAGACCATTTGAGGCACCAGGCCTCAGCCCTGGACCAGACTCCTGCAGTTCCCCACCCACTTTGGGGTGGGTGGATGCAGGTGCTGTTTAAAAAGGGGAGAAGTGACAATATAATTGGTGCTTTTCAGAATCCAAAAAGTGTGAGTCTGTGTACTCCCATGCTGGGATGTATTTGATTTTCATGCTTACAGATTTTATCGGGAAAGGCGAGAAGGGTATGAATTACTGGCGATGGCGCCAGACTTCCAGGTGGCCTGAAGCCAGCGGATGGGACACTGTGGAGCAGTATTGCATCTCTAGTGTTTTCTGAGACCCATTTGTCTTTGGCCACTGCTACAGACCCAGGAGGCTCTTTCTATCCTGAAGCCCCCCAAGGCTGCCAAGAGTGATCCCCAAATCACCCATGATTAAGGTATCCTCAGCTTACTACAACCCTGGTGGGGGCAGGCCTGCCATCAGGACCGGGTGAATGAAGTGATCGCAAGCTGGTCTCACGGGCAGTACCACAGAGGGAATGGGAGGCCCGTCCAGGCAGGAGGGACAGCACGTCAAAGGGATGGAGAGGAGAGATCACCTGGGGAAATGGGAGCAATTGGGGAACAGGCGGAAGGGTGGCTGTGTGGGGGGATGGGGGACTGATGAGGCCAGAGGGCTCAGCAAGGGCCTCATGAAGCAGAGCTCTGGATGCCAAGCTGTGAACCCAGAAGAACACAAAGAAGCCTGCAGGGACCGTGAACTCTGTTTCCACCTCTCTGGCCAGGGGACTGCTGCCCTCAGCCTGTCCCCAGCTCACCAGGGCTACAGCGTTCCCCAGCTGCAGTCCTGCAAGAGGCTCCTGGAGACCATCCTTTTGTGCAAATAAATGTCAAGTGAATGTGCCCACCCTGTCGGGGCTGCCAGCCCACTGGGTTGGCTTCCAGCCCAGGGGGGTTAGGAGCCAAACAAGGGGCAAGATAACCCCGCAGGAGACAGACAGGTAGCAAGGCAAAACAGTGAGCTGCTTTCCTTTGCTTGTTTCCTCCCTCAGTCCGCACTGGCCACGCCTGTGACCCTGCTGCCCCTCACCTGCCAGTGCTGGATGCAGAATGGCCCCCTGGTGCTACTCCTCCTTTGCCTCCTGGTACTTGAACTTCTGGGAGGCCAAGTGCGGGAAAGGAGGCCAAGGGGACTCAAAGCTGCTAGGGTTCTAAGTGGGCCCCTCACATCGTGAGGTCACTGCAAAGGTTACACAAGATAAGGCACTGGCATAAAAATAGAATAAAAGCACCCACTGGGTTTTACATTCACTCATCACTTGTCTTCTCCTCACAGAGGGGAAATGGGCTCAGGGGAGTGAAGGGACCTGGTCTTGGGATATGAACCCAGTTCTGACTGCAGAGCCTGCAGCCTCCACCGCATCCCATCCCACTGGAGCACACAGTAGGCATTCAATAACTGCACATGTGGGGTTGGGACCTGACCGAGTCCTGACCTTTTTTTCTCCCAGATAGGGAGTCTCTCTGGGACCCACACCAACTCCCCTGACGAAGTTGGGGATGAATCATGACATCCTTGGGTCACAGGTTGGTATGAGGGATCCCCCATGGGGTTCTGGCCTCCAATGCAAAGGAAGGGAGGAGATGCCATTTAGCTCAGCCTCACGTTACCAGGCCCTTATACAGACGACAAAAACGGCTCAGCAAGGGGCCAAACCCACCAGGTCCTAAGAGTATGGCCAGGGTCAGCCCCTTCCAGCCCTGAATGACTCCAAGCCCCGTGTTTTTGGCCCTGCCCCCGCCAAGGGTTACATGCCTGCAGTGCTCTCCCACACCGCCTCTCTTCAGACCCTGCAGCCCCAGTGGTCCCCGGAGACGTGGTGGAGACCACAGGTGGGGTGTGCCAGTTCCCGGGGCAGCAGCTGAGCTGGTGGTAGGCTCAAGAGTACCACGAGCTGCGGTTTGGCCACCTGGGACCCCCAGATGAGGGTCCTTGCTCCACGGCTGCCCAACCCCATCTGGGTAGGCCAAAGAGAGACCCCTCTGCGGAGACACCCCCAGAGGCGTGAGTGTGGGCTCAGGGCTTAGGAAGCGGCGGGAGGTGGGGGAGAGGGGGTTGGCAGCGGTTTAGGAGATGCCGAGAGATGGGAGCTCACAGTGACAGTCCTTGCGGATTGAGCCCAGAAGAAGCTCCCGTCACATCTACAGTTTCCCTTGTCCTGTACTGAAATAGAGGGTTGACCTGGGCACGGGCACTGGAGCCCCCACTTCTTTCCCAAGGGAGGGAAACACTCCAAAGCCCAGGAGGGGTCTTGGAGCTGTGCAGAAGAGTCGTCAGGGGCAGGCCTGTGTCCCCGCAGGCGTGCTTACCACCGCCGCGCTGGTGTTCGGCTAGAGGCCCGCGCACAGGGCCGCGCGGCTGCGGACGCCCCTGCCGGCGCTAGGGGCGCTGACGGCGTGCGCGCACGTGCGGTGTGACCCCGCCGCGCCCGACCCGACCGCGCTCTGCTCCCTCGCGGCGCCCGCGCTGGCCAACGCGCTGCACCTGCGCGCCGAGCCGAGCCGGCCGGCGCCGTACACACAGCGCTGGTGGTGCGCGGACACCACGCGCCCTTCCGCGCCGACGGCCGTTGGCACCATGTGTGCGCCACATGGGAAAAGCGCGGCGGGCGCTAGGCGCTGTTTGCCGACGGGCGGCGACGCGCCGGGGCGCGGGCCACCCGGTGCCACCTAGCGGCATCCTCGTGCTGAGCCAAGATCAGGACTCGCTGGGCGGCGGGTTCTCGGCGCGTGACGCCTTCAGCGGCGACCTCACCAACTTCCACCTGTGGGTGCGGGCGCTGAGCCCCGCGCAGCTGCACCGGGCAAGGGCCTGTGCGCCGCCCCGCGACGGCCTGCTCCTGCGCTGGGACCTGGGCGACCTGGACGTTACGCCCTCGCTGCTGCTGCGCCTTCCCTGTCCCGGTACGGCCCGCCCCCTGGCGGCCGCACGCTCCCTTCTGACCTCAGGACTCCGCCTACCTCTTGCCAACCTGGCCACGCCTGTCAACTTTGCCCTGGCTCGGCCCTCTGCCCACTCCCAATAGCCTTAGTGGGGTCGCCCCGTAGCCGTCTTGCTCCGCCTCCTGCTGGCGGCAGAGCCCCTCTAGGCTCCCACGTCGCCCCCTAACTCTGGGGCATGATTCCTAGTACCCTACCTAGTGCAGGCACTTGCAAGACCCCAACAAGTAAGGGGGTCCTGGGGAACGCTGGGGAGCCAGCATGCGGCCCTGATACCTCTCCCACCCTGGCCAGTGCCCTCAGAGGAGTGCCCTTCGTGGGACCCAGGACCCCGCACTGAGGGCTCTTTGCTCTGCCTGCAACCACATCCCTTGTGGATTGAGCCCAGAAGCAGCTCCCGTCACATCTACAGTTTCCCTGGCTACTGGACAGGTATGCCCTGGCTTTGCCCTAGGCTCTGCTGAAGGGGAAGTTAGTATGGACCAGTGTAGGTTGAGAGGGAGTGAACAGTTGGCACGAATTGGGAATAGAAAATTTTCTGAGTCTCAGGGCATCCATGGAGTCTAGGCCACAGGTCAATGGAGCCAGACAGACCTGGGAGTGAATCCCAGCTGTGTGACCTTGGGCATGTAATTTTGCCATCCGTTGACTCAGTTTCCCCATCTAAAACACTGTGTAAGGCTCCAGACACACAGCTGATAATGTGTTCTTCCTCTCTGGGCAGCACATGGAGGGTTGGGCACCTCTGGGCAGAATGTTGCCCCATGGCCTGGCCTGCCATCCCCTCCTCTGCAGAGACCTATCGGCGGCTGTAGAACGCCCAGTCATGGCTTGGCCAGGATGTTATCAGCCAAGTCAATGCTTTGGCCAATGCCATTTCCAAGGGGCTGAAGAGTCTGGGTACACTATAGGTCACCTCCCTGCACCTCAGTTTCCTCACCTGTAAAGGGATATCACCTAGTATGTATGTAGGAATTAAGGTAATTCCTACTCCTTATTTTAGAGCCCCCCTTGAGAGCTGGGGGCTTGTGACAAGTTAGACGAGCCCACCAAAAAGTCCCTGGCAGAGCCCAAGTTTGGCCTCCAGGGATCCCCTCCTGACAGCCAGAGCAGCGGTAAGTGCCTCCACTGCCCGCAGCTCCTCCCTGACCCCCTTTCTGAAGCCCATGGGCACCTGTCGCTGGCTGAGGCGTCCAGCTTCCTGGGGATCCTAGAGAGAGTCCTGGTGAAGGAGGCAGCTCCCCTGGGGCGGGCTGCGCTGCCTGCTGTCGTGCACTTCCTGAGGAGGGTGACGGCCCTCACGGCTGGGGAGCCAGAGCCCCAGACAGGACCCTGGGAGCAGCTGGGCCAGGGCGTCGTATCTGTGGTCCTGGAGGAGCAGCTGGCTTGTACGTGGCTGGCAGGCAATGAGGTGAGGCTGGCAGGGCTGGGGGGTAGGGGCCTGGGTGCTGGTTCCAACCTTGCCACCGGTTTGTTGTGCAGCTATGGACGGGTCAGCACCTATCACTGGGCTCCAGCTCTCCATCCATCGAGAGAAACTCTTCTTTTGTCCACTTTGTAAGTTGAACTTCCACGAACAACTGCTCTTGAGCAACATCTTCTGAAGTTAAAAATTAAGAGCCACTCGCTAATCATTAAGGACCTCCCCATAGCCAAGAACCTGCTGACACAGTGGAAGGTCCTCTGTGCTGAGTGTTCAGCCACCTTGTCTGCCAGAACAGTCCAGGCAGGCACTCTGCAGACCGTGAGGGATGCTGTCCAGACAGGGAGGGTGTCAGAAGCCTCGTCCTGGCAGAAGTGGCTATAGGCCTGGAGTGATTAGCCTAGAGAAGGAAGAGAATTAGGGATCCTGAACACTGTCTGCAATCCTTAGGGGCTGAAGGAGCAGCTTCAGCTGTGGTCCCAGAGGACAGAGCTGGGACCTGGGCTTGGAGCCAGAGTGGGGATGACAGAACATAGGTGCCTGGTTCCAGAGAATGGTTCACTTGTTCAGGTGGTGCCGAGAAGGCTGTAAGCCCACGTTTGACTGGGCATCTGAGGCACTGTGGGAAAAGCTGGGCTCTGAATCTCGAGTTTTCTTCCCTAGAGAATGGGGCTTTTCAGATCCTCCCTGTTTAGGCAATGGCTAGGAGTAAGTGGGTGAGCCAGCGGGGAGTCCCATCCAGGCACCTCCCCACATCGCCCCCGGCCCCGCCCAGTCCTTACCCTCCACACAGATTTCCTTCAGGAATCTCAAAGTTAAGCACCTGTTATAAGTCTAGCACCGAGTCAGACCAAAGAAGGGGGAGGCACAGCCCTGCCTTTAGAGTGTGCCTGGACCGGCCGGCAGGCACTGAGCACTATGAGGCCTTCGGCTTGACCAGAGGACGAGGTGGCTTAGGAGGGGGTTGGAGAGGTCTGAGGAGGCCAGCCTGAGGAGGCCCCACGGAGCTACTGAGGGCCTGGAGCGGGAAGGCCACTTCACATCACTGAGAACATGTTAACTCCAGCAGGGCAGAGGTGGGGGGAGTGCGAGAGGGGACTGACTCAGTTTCCTCCAGGCGGTTGGTGGGTCCATGACCCTGGTGGCAAGTGTACAGCACCTGCATCCCTGCTGAGCACCATGCTGACCTCTGAGCAGCCCCAACTGCACATCCAGGACCACTGAGCCGGTGAGCCTGCATCCACCCATTCCACACAATTGGGCTCTGGGCTCAGACATCTCTCCTCTGGTCACTGGGAGCTCTCCGCACTCCCACAGACACTCCATTCTGTTTCCTGCCTTTGCCCTTGCTGTGCCCTCCAACTAGAATGCCCTTTCTCCCTTCATCTCCTAGCAAACTCCTGTACAAGCTTCAGAACCCTGCTTGAGCACCAACATCTCTAGGAAGCCTTTCTGGTTTTAGCTCTCTCCTGACAGCTCCTCCCTCCTGTCACCCCAGTGTCTTGAACATACCTCTTATTGCATTTGTGGTAATTACACAATTTCTCCTGTAGCTCGCTGAGTGCCAGGGCTCTCCATCTGAGTCATTTCTGCATCTCAGGGCCAGACCCAAGTACATACTCAGTGATGTTGTAGATCGAATGGGGAGCAGTTATGGTGGAACTTAAGGCAAAGCTTGTTTCCTTCAGGCGCCCAGGGGCTTCTGGTAGCTCACTGATGTTCAGGTCCTGGCCCCAGTAACCCCCTTCTGGTCATTTACCTGGGCGAGTTACTGAACCTCTCTGAGCAGGCACGGGGGCCCCCTAGACCTGCGGTGAGGAGAGGGGAGACAGACCTGCCAGCCGGGCCAGCTCAGCAGAAAGAGCAGAACGACCTCCCTTCTGAGGTCCAGCCACCCAGCTCATTTGATCCCAGGCCTGGAGATGTGGAGTCTACACCTGAGGGAGGACAGCACAGAGGGCCACGTGTTCACGATGCCCAGCGGGCATCCAGAGGGGCCCGGCCACATCCATGTCCCTGCAGGTGAAGTGAAGCGGCTCCTCGGGAAAGGTCGGTGCAAGTAGGGCCCTACTGGGGTGTTGGTCAGCCCTCTGCCCTCACAGCTGCTAGCTCTGCCTCCCTGACCAAGTCACCTCACCTCCCAGGGCCCGTTTCTCATCTGCAGATTGTCGTGCCCATACCAGCCTGTGGGTGCTCTGAGGCCAGGGCACCTACCACACAGTGGGTGTTCACTTAGTCCCTTCCACGGAACCCCACACATCTTCTCTTGGAAGCGGGCATGGATGGGGCCCCTACCCTTACTGCCACCAGAGCTGGAGGGTTAGGACAAGGGGTGAAGGGCTTCCGAGCTGCCAGGCCAAGCACGTGAACAGTGGCTCGTTGGAATTCTGGCTCTGCCACTTATTAACCGTGCAGTCGGTCTCTGGGAAGTCACTGAACCTCGAGGAACCTCTGTTTCCTCTCTGTAGGGTGGGCAGGGCATTTCCCCCAGGGCCAAGCCGGAGAGCTTGCCCCGCCACTGGGTGGGGATCTGAGCCCCCCTGCATGCAGCCAGGCCTCTCTGGAGTCACCGTGATGCACAGCTGGTTCAGCTCAGGCGTGTTCCAGCACGCCCTGGAGGAGCCTGGCCTGGAACCCCAGGCCCCTGGCAGCATGGGAGAGGCAGGCAGTACACAGAGGTGAGTGACCCACCCAGGAGGTTGCGGAGCACCTGGGCCCCCTCCCCAGGGAAGGCATCTTCCCCTCCCAGAGTCCTCATTCTTGGGGGGCAGATCTGCCCTTCACAACCCAGGGCCAAGCACACCATCTCCAACACACACACATTTCTGGGCCTGCCACAGGTATGATACTGGGAACATGGCTCAGTCCTGGCTGGGGACCTGGTTCAGTGTTGAGACTCCAGGAGGAGATAGGGCTTACTCAAATTGCCAGCAAGTTCCCAGGGCAAGATGCCCCAATTCCCAGCATAGGGCTTTTCCTGTTTCTTTGGACACAGAAGGTATCATCTCCTCCACGGGGCCTAGGTGACATGACCCCAGCCATCCATAACCTCTTTCCCCACAGATTTCTACGCATGCAGGTGGGGTCAGCCATCATCTCCTCTGAGGTGTGGGACATAACCGGGGACGTCAACACAGCTGTGACCTTTCACCTGCAACACCAGGCCCAGGTACTGAGTGGTGCTTCTGGAAAACAGACAACCTTGTACCTTTATCCTGGCTTGGTCCCCCCTGCTTCAAATATTTCTTCACTGGAAAACCAAGGACTAAAAATGTTCAAGGAAAATACTATCCACAATCTCTTTGTCTTTAAGGGAATGGAAAATGAAGTAATTTATTGAACACTTACTTTATGCCAGGTGCTTTGAATAAGCAATGTCCATTCCATCTTCCAACTGCCCATTCCACAGAGGCTAAAAGTGAACTTGGGAGAGGTGCCGTGCTTAGCCCCAGCATGTAAGTGGCAGAGCTGGGCTTTCATTATAGGTCTGAATGACTCAAAATGCCAGTGATTCCCACTGAAATCCAGAAAGATGTGCAGAGGCCTGCATTGCAACATGCTTCTCTAGAGTAAAAATAACTTAAATGTCCATCAATAGGGGACTACTTATAAAGCCGTATAGAGCTACACAATGGACCAGGCAGCTGAAGTTATTATATAAGGAATGAGATATTTTTCTATAAACTGACATGGAAAGACTGCCAAGAAATGTTTAATTTAATTATGTATAATACACATTCCTTCTTGCTTTTGAAACATTGGAACATTTCAGAGAGAGCTAGTCTCCTTTGCTCACAACCACTGAACCTGGACACACACAGGCTCATAACTCACACACACCCCATAGCTTATCAGTCTTTTGTGCATCATCCCAAGATTTTTTAAAGATTCATTCAAAGTAGACAAATCTACATACACTAAAACATCATTTTAAGTGTACAGCTTGATGGATTTTAACCAGCATATCACCATGTACCACTGCCCCAATCAAAACACAGAACATTGCCACCTCCGTGAAGGCTTCTTCATGCTCCTCCCAGGCAGGCTTCTCCTCTCACCCCTTGAAATCACTGATCTGCTTTCTGTGGCTGGAGGTTATGTCTGTCTTTTCTGAAGTTTCATATAAATGGGATCATACAGTGTGTGCTTTGGTTTGGCTTTTGCTCAGGTGGTGTTTCTGAGAATCGTCCATGTTGTTGCCTGTTTCAAACGTTTGCTCCTTTTTACTGCTGAGGAGAATTCCCTTCTATGGATGTACCATAATTTGTTTTTCCATAAACCTGTTGATGGGGATTTGAGTTGTTTCCAGTTTGGGCAATTACGAGTAAATTTGCTATGAACACACATGTGCAAGTCTTTTTGTGGACATAGGATGTCTATTGAGTAAATATCTAAATAGGGGCTTTCTGGGTTGTGTAAGTATATATTTAGCCTCTAAGAGATGCCAAACTGTCTTCCACAGTGGCTATGCCATCTTACATTCCCAACAGCCCTCCTGGTTGCAGCTCCTCCACATCTTTGCCAAAGTCCGTGTCTGTCTCTTTGATGCCATTCATTATAAAATTGTGTATTGATATCTCATTGCGATTCTTCTAGGTGGCAATTCCTTGAAGACCAGTGATTTTGAGCAACTTTTAATACACTTCGTAGGCATCCATATTTCTTCCTCTATTAAATATGTTCAACATTTCTCCCCAATTTTTAAATTGTTTCATTATTGAGTTGTAAGAATTCTTTTTGTCTTCTTGATGTGAGTTCTGTCTCAGATATACATTTTGTGAATAATTTCTCTAGTCTGTGGATTGACTTTTCATTTTCTTAACAATGTCTTTGGAAGATAAGCTTTGTTAACACACACACACCTGCCCCCGATACACACTCACACACCTGCCCTATCCCTCTTTCCTGCCCTCAGGCCTTCCCTCAGAAGCTGGTGGAGCCTGTCTGTGCCTTCTGGAACTTCAGCAGCAGGTAAGTTTCCATTTCTAAGTTCTTAAAATAAGGCAGTTTGGTTTTTTAAAAGACACCCATTCTGCTTGAGGATGAGGCAGGACTCGGGCGTGGTTCTGGGCTCCGTTCATCAACTGCCTCACGGAGGTAGCTTCAGGTCCCTGCCCAGCTCCAGGACAAGCTAGGGCAGGAGGAAGTATTACCCAAGAGGCAGGGAGCTCCCCATCACGGGACGCATTCAGGCTTACTCTGCGGGATACCTTGGAAGAGACTCATTTGTCCAAAGGGTGTTAGACATGATGAGATACACAAAGACAGGGCCCATGGGCATTTGGAGGGCAGAGGAATGTTCAGGCATTAGCTCCCTGCCCTGGATCTTCAGCTGAACACTGGTCACTATTGCTGATTAATGCAGCCCATCAGGGGTAATCACTCGAATTAGCCCTGTCCTCCCACCATCCTGGAGTTTTCAGTACATTCTTACAGGCCCAAGGAGGGGCAGACTTGCCCAAGGTCACCAAGCGGGTTAGAAGCAGGGCAGTGATGGACCCCAAGCTTTGGGAGAGGCTTTCTGCTGCTTGTCATCTGCCCCCACTTCCATGTCCACCCCATCACAGGAGCCCCTCTGCTCCCTACCCCTGACTCAGTCCAGACACAGGGGGCTCCTGGGCCACTACTGGCTGCTCCGTGGCTGCCTTGCACCAGGACTCCACCACCTGCTTCCACAACCACAGCACCAACTTTGCTGTCCTGCTGCAGGTCTGTGACATCCAGGGGAGTGCTGGGTGTGGCAGGGGGTGGGGGCTGATGTCTGGACCAAGTCTGAAGGATGAATAGGAGTTGAGCAGAAAGTCCTTCCAAGCAGAGGGCCAGTCTGAGCAAATGGCAGAGAATGAGAAATTGTCACATTCTCGAACTTTGTTGGGTCTGGAGCTGCCAGTGCAAGGCCCAAGAGTGGAGAAGGGGGGTGAGGGTCAGACCACACAGGGCCCAGAATGCCAGACTCATGCCACTCAGACTGCGACCCTATTGCCAGAGGGCAAGCATCGAAGGGTTAAGCAATTTAGATTTGCCCCAAAGGAGCCCCCTCATGTCAGTCTCTCTCAGGGCCTCTCCTGGTCATGTCGCCTTTTATTTCTGACCTCATCTCAGTCATGGCTTTACCTACTGGCCATTCATCTCTAGCTGAGTCCCCTCCAGCCCTGAACACAGACCCAGGGCTCCTCAGACCGGTGGGCAGGAGTAGCCAAACCTGTTAGCCACCTGTGCCCTCCCTGAAACAAGTCCCTCGGCCCCCAGATGCCCAGGCCTTCATCCGGGTCCGTCCTCACCCCCTGCACCCTCTCAGTCCAGGGCCCCTCCCCTCTGCCTGGGCCAGGCCTGCGGACCACTCGCTGCTCCTTCCCTGCCAGCCTTACTCCTGACATGACGTCCTGCTGGTGCCTGTTGCCATCTCTGCTTCACTGCAGAGAAAGAGCTTGGGAGCTGTGCCGGGTGGGGCGGTGTAAGCCCCCAGGTCAGGGTGGTAACAGGCCACTATACTCTGGGGTCTCTGTCCCTCCCACAGAGAGATCCTGAGGAGGAGTCATTGCTGAGGATGCTGTCATTTGTGGGTTGTGGTGTGTCCTTCTGTGTCCTTGCCACCACCTTCTTGCTCTTCCTGGCAGCTGGGTGAGGCAAGCTGGGTCCAGCCTGCCCTGTGGGCCTCTGCGTCCCTCCTTGGGGCAGTTCGATCCTTGATCCCAGCAGACCCTCCAGGCTGTGGGTCCCCTGTGGAGCTGCCATCCCTGCCTTCACTGGCCTGTCCACAGGGACCCAGGTGGCAGAGGCTGACCAGGGTGCAGGCTACCAGTGATGTCCTTGTTAACTAACTCCTCTGCCTGTCCAGGGTCCCTAAGTCTGGGTGAACCACCGTCCCCAAGAACCTTACCTTCTCCCTGGCCTCCACAGAGGGCTTCCTCATGGCCAGCGAGTGGGCAAAGGCCAGCAAGGTAGGTAGGCAGCCAGTGGATGGGCTTGTGAGCACAGGGGTCCAGTAAAGCACCTTTACCTTTTCTGGGCTGCCCCTGACATCTTCATATAGCTCCATTTCTCTGGGAGCAGCAGGGCCCAGAGATGAAAGGCCCTGGTGGTGGAACTGGGCTCAGGGCACTGCCTGGAGACCTTACCCACTGATCACTCTGTGGGCTGGCAATGCCCAGCAGGAGCGTGGGACCCACGGTGGGGCCACACCCACATCTAGCCTCCTACCTCAGGTGGCGTGTGTGGCCGTTACGGCTGCAGTGCACCTCCTCTTTTTGGTTGCCTTCTCCTGGATGTTGGTGGAGGGCCTGCTGCTGTGGAGCAAGGTGGTGACTGTGAGCCTGCGCCCAGGCCCCGGGATGATGCTCCACTATGCCACAGGCTGGGGTGAGGCCCCCTGCTCCCCACTCCTGCTCTGTTCTCATCTTGGCCCCGCATAGCCTCCACTGGTGCCCAATATCACCCCACAGCCCAGCACCACCGATGCCCATCTCTACCTGGCGCCCAGCCCCCATTGCTGACATAGGCTCAATTTTCTCAGCTCCATCAGCCTCCAGCTTTACCCAACTCCAGTTCTTCTTAATCCTCCTCCATTTCAGCCACTTCAGGTCCCCACCACCAGTGCTGTCTCCTGATCTGTGACCAGATAATCCCCAGCCTCCAATTCCCAGCCCTAAGCCCAAAACTCAGTCCCAGCCTTCTGCTCTCCAACCACTCAGGGCCCTAATGCCACCCCAGAAGTATCAGGCCCACCGAACCCTGTGCCCAGACCTTCCAGTGCCTGCCAGGATGCCTGCCCTGCAGGACAGCTGTGGGTGTGGCTCTGGAGTGGGGGCTGGGTCCCAGAGAGGACAGAGCCGGTGACTTGGTCCTGAGCTTACCCCTGCTTCTCCTAGGCATGCCTGTGGCCATCGTGGCCATCACCCTGGCCATGTCCCCCCACGACTACGTGGCCGCTGGACACTGCTGGCTCAATGTGCACACAGATATCATCTGGACTTTGTGGGGCCTGTACTCTTTGTGCTGACCATGAGTAGGGAGGCGGGGGCCTGGAGTGGGAGGACATGGGTGGGTAGGGGAGGCCCTTTCACCCATTGACACCAGGTCTCCAGGCCAATACCTGCATCCTGGTCCATGTGGTGATGGTCACTGCATCCAGCGCCCGCCACGGCACCTGCACGCTGAGCCCGCAGCCCTGCCTACAGCAGCAGATCAGTATCCAGATATGGTGAGGCCGCAGACTGGAGGAGTCAGGAAGAAGTGGGACGTGAGGCTTATTGGCTGTGAGCACATGAGTCCATGGTGGGTGTGAGCGTGGCCATGTGGGCTCATGGATGCATGCCTATAAGTGAGCAGGCTTGTACATGTCCCTGCTGTGTGTGCATGCATGCTCCTGCATGTGGACGTGTGTAAGCATGTGTCCAGGCATGTCACCCATGGAGATGGTAATTGATCCCGTGTGTATGTGAGGGGGAGGGGGATGTAGTTGCCAGCCACTGCCCTGGGGGCTCACTGTCAGCAGAAGGCACTGATTGGCCTAACAGGGACAAGGTAGGAGAGACCTCTGAATCAGGCAGCGCACAGAGGTTCAGGTTCAGGGTGGATGTAGCTCCCTACTACTGCCAAGAACCCCTATCACTCTCAGGGCCATATCCTGCTAGAGAGAGGACACCCTGGCCTTCTTTCCCACCCATCCTCTGCCAAGAGCAGCAGGGAAGCCCAAGCCAGTGGATCCCAGAAAAGCCGGGGAGCCCCAGGGGTCCTTGAGGAGGGAAGCAGCAGCCCTTCCTGAGTCCATGCCGCCTGGCTCCACAGCACAGACCTAAGCCCTCCCTCTGAGCAGCTGCCATCTGCTTCCTTTGGGCTGGATTTGGGACTGGGGCTCTTATCTCTCCAGTGCCACTGCCCCTACTTCATGCCATCTCTGGGTCTCTGAGTTGGGACAGCCAGGTCCAGCCTTTGAGCGTTCCCAGCTACACCTGCATCCTGAGCCATGGCCCCTGGTCTGCAGTCTGGCCCCTCTCCAGGCCCTTCCTAGGTGCTGCCCTCCCCCAGACCCTGCGGGCACTCCCAGGCCACCTGGCTCTCCTCAGGCCTGCCTGCTGTCCCGCAAGGCCACAGTGAAGCCCGTGCTGGTCCTGCTGCCTGTCCTGGGCCTGACCTGGCTGGTCAGCATGCTGGTGCACATCAGCCCGGCCTGGGCCTATGCCGCTGTGGGCCTCAATTCCTTCCAGGTACTGATGGCCCTGAAGCCTCCGGGACCAGGGCTTTGACGTGCATTGGAGCTCGAGGAGGTGACCAGTTTGTCAGAGGACTCAACAACACTGCACCTGGGGACATTGTCAAGTGGAGGGAATCAAAGAGCACGTCAGGGAGGAGCTGGTGGTCCATCTGACAGTTGAGGAAGCTGAGGCCCAAAAGGAGGGTCATTAAGACCCCTTGTGCCTGACACTCAAGGGTGTGGCAGAGGGTGCAGCCCCCGGGCTGGAGCCGCTTCTGGCCTCAGCAGGAAGCCAAGGATGGCCATGCAGGACCCCAGTGACCTCTCCTCTTGGGGTCTGCAGTGGTTTGCAGTGAGGCAGCATGAACAGTGAGGACAGCAGTTGAGAGAAGGGTTTGCTGAGAAGGACGATGCTCAACCCACATAAATGAAGCAGTAACAGTGGGACTGTAGGGACCCTCCTGTTTGCCTGTTGGTCACTGTGTCCTGGAGCCACAGACATGGGTCAGGGGGTTTGCAAACCTGTGGGGGACCAGACTGGGCCATGGACACAGAGAGCCATCGCCTAGAGGGCTAGTGCTGGGAGGGAGGTGGGTCCCAGGAGGGCCCTCCCTACCCCTGCTCTTCCCCTTAGCCTCCCTTGCAGCCCAGCACTTCTCCCTGTTGTCTGCACCCATTATTCCCAGCTCTCCTCAGCCCAGGGAACAGGACTCCCAGGGACCTCTCAGGGCTGAGAAATGAGATGGCCCAGAGATGGGCAAAGACAGCAGGAAATCAGGTGCAGACTCTATCCAGGGTCCTTGTATACCGAGCTGGGCTCACTGGAGACTTGCCATCCTTTCAAAGGAGAAGGCTGAGGCTGTATACCTGCGTAGGATGCCTGGGTGCTCCAAAGCCTGGGCCAGGCTCATTTATATCTCCAAACATGCTTTACAAATGGGGAACCTGAGACACCATGAACCACTTGCCCACGGCTCATAGTAGGAAGGAGCCACCCTGGGGACCCGAGTCCAGTGTGTGTGTTCTCAGCCATCAGGCTATTCAGCCCTTGACCACAGATGGGCCTGGCTGGTTCCTACAAGAGCTTCCACGGCTGGGGGCTGGGAGGCTGGGGGCTGGGAGGCTGGGGGTGGGAGGGGCACCCTGACCAGTTACTCATCCCTCGTGTGATATTCATTGAATGCCCACTAGGGGCCAGGCACTGAACTAGGTGCTGGGGACAGGGCAGCAAAGCGGGCTGCAAATCGCCCTATTCTTGACGAGCTGACTGGGTGGGGAGGCAGCCCATGACCAAGCTGAGGGACTGAAGCATCCAGGCAGGGATACAGCAGGGAGCTGGAGGGGAGCAGACAGTAGTGGTCACCAGGTCCTGGCCCACATTGGACCATCCTCCCACCATCCTCCATCTGCCACAAGGCAGGCATGGGAATGGAGAGAGGCAAGAGGGTCTGTGGGGCCTGGAAAATGAAGGAAACTGAGGTTCTCAGGCTGTTCCTAAAGAGGCACAATTCCCAGGGACCTGTCTGACCTGAGCCATAGGGGACAGAGGGCAGGACTGCACCCCCTTCCCTGGCACAGACAAGCCGTTCATCCCAGAGCCTGCTGCCCAGCTCCATGGGCTCTAATTCCAGCTCTGCCTGCTTAGCCGTGTGACCCTGCCCAGGTCTCCCCCTGGCCACAGCGGCAAGGAGGCAGCAGCCCATTGCCATGGCAATTACTCCAACTCCTCTCTGTCTATGGGTAGAGGCCACCATGGAGCCGGTGCCACCATCGTGGCCTCTCTGTCACAGTCCCCATCCCTGTTGCCTTCTCCTCTGGCCTGGACCCACCAGACTCTTCCTGGGCCTCTCTCTGTCTCCCTTTCTGTTGACCTCTGGCCCCATCTTCTTGTCTCTTGCGCTGCCTCTCCTTCTCTCTGAGTGTGGCCTCTCTTGCCCCCTTCCATCAGCCTCAGACCTTCCTGGGGATGGGCTGCCTTCTAGGGGTCAGAAGGCATGAGACCTGGGCCTGCTCCGATGTTCCTGTGAGCGTCTTTGGGCAGGTCCCTGACTCAGGCTCACAGCTGCGTTCTCTGGGCCCCTCCCTGCCCTCCCTAGGCCTGGCCTTCTGCCTCCTCTCTCTTCCATCATACCTGCCATCTCTTGGTGTCTGCTCTCCCTGCCCCACCTCCAACCCTGTCCCTCTCTCACTCTGTCTTGGGTACAAGCTGGGCAGGACCTGCCTTCAGGACCATGCTCTTTCCCTGCCTCCGGTGGCCAGGGAGCAGGCCTGGGGCCAGAGGGAGTGAACTCAGCCCGGCCTCATTCACTCTTTGGGCATGGTTTGGAGCCTCACTTCTAATCAGCTGTAGCTCACACTTACCTGGGCTGCATCTTGTTGGGAGACCTAGACAAGGTGAAACAGTCTTCCATTTCTACTTCTATATAAAGGGATCATTGTGGGATTCAACTGAGATGATACTTGAAAAGGGCAAACAACACCGGCACAACCAGAGTGCCACCAGCACGAGCTTTGTTTCAGTCACTCAGCACTTACTTCTCAGCACCTCCCTGGGCATGCACTGGGCTGCATAC